GAGTGGTTTTCCTTTGCCATATAGAAGCGTCTATAGAGAAGATTCGTTAGAGGCCTTTTGACTCGAGAGCAGAGGTCGCGCGCTTACGCCTTGCAATAGGTTCTCCTCCGGCTCTTGAGCGACCCGATGGTAATAGGGTTTACCCTCGGGATGGATAAACATTGTCCAGCCTTCGGGTAAGGGGTCCATGCGCCGGTTCATGACTAGTGAACCAGCTGGAATCTGCATGTGCGCAATAGGAATTCTAGGCGACGCGTGTGTCAATATAATCTAGCCAAAACAGGCAAAACGCCCACACAAAAACTTTTTAGAATTAGATGTACGTACGGATCTGGTTTGTCCCATCTCCTGACAGTCTTTGGCATGATGGGCCAAATGTCCCACACATGACCGTTTCCTGGCTTTTCCTCTTCACAGAGAGTTTTGCCAGTTAATGGGCCCTTTTCGTTGGGTTGAGTGGTAGCAGGGATGATTCGTTCAAAAGTGCCATCAACGCCGTCGCCAGCCTCGATAGGTGAGGCCGTTCGGTTGGGCGAAACCATCGTGCCGCCTGTAGATGGTGATCTAGCAATAGTAGTATCGATGCTCCTCCCTCGAAAGATGTCTGACCATTTTCGCTTGGGCTTTTCTTCGGTGATGATGCTGGTTGGTTCCTGGGTTGGCTGCTGGTGCGTGAAAAAAGTGGGCAAGATAGCTCCAAAAGAGCCACTGCGGTTCATAAAGCTCATGATAGAATCTTTAGCGTAGTTTAGAGTGCGAGCTGTGAGGTGAGCTGATGAATCTCGATGGGCTGAGGAGGTTCAACTGAAGTTCGCTGGGAGTGCGCATGATTACTTATATATCAAGTGGGTAAGCCACTTTGTGGTAAGCCCCGGGTTATTATTCCATAGAAGGTAGTGATGAGCCCACACGTTTCCATTGAATGCCATCCGGATTCCATCGGGTTGTATTAGGCGTCTGGCCCTCGACCCCCGCATAACTTCACCAGGAGGCTGCAGCAGCTTCTGACGAAAACCACTG